GCCCCAAGCTCAGGGACAGACTGAGCAGATCGAACCCACACAGGGTTAACTGGGTAGAGACCCAGACGGATGAGGGGCCAGCTTCCCAGGCCAGGGAGGCTGGCAGCTTCCCAACTGCTCAGGAGGGAGGAGTGCCCCAGGCCAGCTTCTCTGGGGGGCTGGATGCTCCGGAAACCAAGTTCTCCATTTACAGGGTGGGCGCGGGGCTGTCCCTGCAGAGTGAGTGCCTTGTTCCCCTGGAGGTGGATGGGAGGAAGGTCAATGGATACTGGGACACGGGCGCTGAGGTGACGCTGGCCTGGCCCGAGGTGGTAGCTCCAGATCAGGTGATGCCCAATAGCTTCCTGCAGGGCCACCCAGAGGATTCAGGGGGCCTGGGGCAAAGCAATTTTGGGGGCCACTTCCATAAAAAAATTGCAATACTATAGAATACTATATTCTCGTGGGGGTCCCTGCGGGGCCCGGGGCAAATTGCCCCACTTGCTCCCCCTCCATGGGCTGCCCTGGGAAAAATAAACCTTCTGCATATCAGCACAAACCCAGTTTTGAGAAAACTTCTTTACAAGGCATCACTGGTTCTCAGCATCAGCTAGTGCTAAAAGGCACGAAAGCTCATTAAAAGGGTTGGACAAATATTTTCCGTCAAAACTTTTTTTGGATCAAAACTAGGGGTTTTTAAAAAGCAGAAAAAACACGGACAGTGTCTGCTTTCCTTCCAAATGTGTTGTGTTTTTTTTATTGAAAAGCTGAAATTAGTCTGCCAAAACCGGACCATGGTTTGGGGTTTCAGAAATGTGTGGCCAGATATTTGCTGCTTGTTGTGTTTGATTGTTTAAAGAAACAAAAAAAATTCTGCTAAAAAAAAATCCAAAACCTTTGAACCACCTCAGCTTGTGACCAAATGCCCGAGCTCATCCAGTCAGAGATTTTTCCAGGTTTCTGATACTCCGCTGGCTTCCTTGACTCATATCTGTCTCCAGAACTTTGGGTTCATTTAGGTTAGAACATAAGAAAGGCCGTACCAGGTCAGACCAAAGGTCCATCTAGCCCAGTATCCTGTCTACTGACAGTGGCCAAAGCCAGGTGCCCCAGAGGGAGTGAACCTAACAGGTAATGATCAAGTGATCTCTCTCCTGCCATCCATCTCCACCCTCTGACAGACAGAGGCTAGAGACACCATTCCTTACCCATCCTGGCTAATAGCCATTAACGGACTTAACCTCCATGAATGTATCTGTTTCCTAGAGACTGGCTCCATGGAGTCCCTCACAAACTGGAGACGGTTACTGTGGGTTTGTCTTTAGTACAGACTATGTACATACTCCACGAACTGAGCATTTGAGCTTGTTCCAGAATCTGGGATGAGCCTATGTTGTGAAAACCGAAATGCTCAAAATAGCACATGCATGTGAATGGACACAGGGTGCTAAAATTAAATTAACCCAGGGGTTCTCAATCTGGGGGTCAGGACCCCTCAGGGGGTCACAAGGTTATTACTGGGGGTCGCAAGCTGCCAGCCTCCACCTCAAACCCCACTTTGCCTCCAGCATTTATAATAGTGTTAAATATATAAAAAAGTGTTTTTAATTTATAAGGGGGGG